TAACCCTGATGTTAGTCTCCCGTATTCACTGTTTACATCGGGTCCACTTGTGAACGATAATGGTTTAGTGTACTCTAACCTTTTCGACGCCATGTTAGATGCTCACTATGCAGCTCAAACACGTCTTGGTGGAGGCGATTTGAAGATTGTTGTGTCGGAGAGTGGATGGCCGTCGTATGGTCATCGGGTAGCAACACCGGAAAACGCAGCAACTTATTATCAGAATTTGATTGAACATGTGAAAGAGGATAATGGGACACCGGCAAGGCCTGAAAACTCTATAGAAACGTATTTGTTTGCAATGTTTAATGAGAATTTGAAAGAAGGAGATGAGTCTGAGAGGCATTTTGGGCTTTTCTTCCCCGATCAAGGATCCAAGTATGAACTAAGCTTCTAATTACCAAAATCCATAGTGTAATGGAGTTTCGGTAATTTAAGTAATAAATAAATCATGGAATAAAAGCTTTTGTTTCCTCGATTGTACATTACCCGTATTATTGATGAAACAACAAAACTTCCTATTTTAGGCTTTGAATGGAAGTCAACTTTATGAAACATCAATGGCCTTCAATCCTATAAGAAATTACTCCTCTAAACTAATCTTAAGAAACACCATTGCTCTCCTGTGACATATATTATTTTTTAAACTTTAAATAGCAACCAACTATTTAAAGTATCCAATCAGTTGATGGATCACTCCATGTACACAATAACGCAAAACAATTGGATCAATACACTTTGCACCATTGAAGTATCACTTTACAATCACATGTAAATTTTATTTTGGTTCAACATAGATCACACCACACCACCACACTTCATCCATCTGCTCACAAGCTGTGAAAAATATCAAACATGTGCATTTTCTTTAACATGCAAGGAATTAGCAGCTCATATCCATATTATACTATTGCAATCCTCCATCCCAAACTTGATGTTTTTAAATAGTAATCTTCGGTCTCTCATTGATCTATCGGCCGCAATAACTTTTTTCATGTATATATATATATATATATATATATATATATATATATATATATACTAGCCGTTTACCCACGCCAAGCGACGGGTGCAAATAATTTTTTCAGAAATTAGTTTCTAGAGCTGATTAGTTCTTTCATAACAGTGATGCTAGTAGAAACGAAATAAATAAAAATTAAAGATGAAAAGTTAGGATTACCTGCAAACTTCATTGACAATTTTGTCAATTGCACATCAACAACCAAGGGATAATTGCAACAAGATATTCAGGGGACAAAATAGTCGATTGAGGAGAACAGTTAACATATATGAATTACCTGCAGTAGCATCTTAAAAGATGTATGATAATAAATAGTTGAAGAAATGAACATTCCTGAAAATATTAGTATGCCAATGAAGTGCTTTTAATTCTTTTTGTTCATGTACGTCATAAGCTAAAAATCAAATAGGGTCAGATTGTTAACAATCACAAAAATTCAATATTCAAAAGAGCAAGTAACCCGATGAACAAAAAGAAATTGTGACATTACATAATATTCCTTTTGTGGACATTAAATCAAAAGTAAAAAATAAAGAAAAAAAGTTACTAAATGAAACCAACTACAATCTATTCTTCTAATATAGGAAAAACTTGCAAATTTTTATGACAAAATCAGAAATCAATGAATTAAGTTTGACAGTACACATTAGTAATTTGAACTAAAAGTAATTAGGAATTCCATAATCTGTTGAGAGATAATTATAGTTAACTCTAAACTTCAACCAACTACAGTTTAACTTTTTTTAAAACCAAATATGCAAAAATAGTAGTAAAGATCACTAAAATATAAAGCACACAAATAAGCTGTTATGCAATATTCACATACCTTGAGTAATCTAAAGATGACGAATAAGAAATACCCTCTCATCATCACCGGTTGCTTCATGTTATCACGCTATTAACCAACATAATTTAAATAAGCAAAACAAAAATTATATTATTACATGTAAATATAAGATCAACAATATAAAAAAACAGGTTGAAAAGCATACCAGTGAACAAACCCCAAAAATAGCAATGCCCTCCATGGAAAAAATCTATAGTAGTCTATCAGGCATTTAAACATAATCTGTAGTTAACTTTTGAATCTGCAGCCAAAAAATTGGTGGTGCCTATACATATATAAGTAAGATGGCAAGGATGTAAAATCGTGAAGTACCTCCATCAGATGCCTCCACTTTTCGTTTCCTAGTAAAAAAGGAAACTCCATGCAACATTAGCATAAAACCAAAATTCCAACAATGACTACAGTTGAAGTTTACCTAAATGAAACCATTTTAGATTAAATCCAAAATGGTTTAAGAACCTTAATGGAGTCTTGATATCAGATGGCATGCAGAAGAACCCTCCAAATTCAACCTATATCCCCAACTCCAAACACCTTTCCCAACTCAAACCTGGTCCACCTTAGTTTTGTTGAGTTCGGAAAAAAACAAAATAATATCTAGAAAGTAGAAACAATAAAGATCAGGAAAAAATAGATATTAACCTGCAGTATACACAAAGCGGTGTTTTGTTAAATCATAGGGAAATTCGAATCAAACTCTAAGAGAAGGACTTTCAACAGTGGCGTTTGGGTTTCTACTGCGGTGGCTAGACTTCGAGATTTTGCGGTAGGTAATAATGGAGTCGGTACAGGTGGCTGGGGAATGACAGGTACGTTGGCATTAAGAGAGGGATTTGACGAACGGTGTTTTCTAATTGAAAAACAGAGAGACAGTTGTAGGCAATGGTAGGAGAGGTGTGCGGTGGTTTAGTGATTGTGGTGGTTGTAGGTAAGAATGGTGGAAGCAGACTTGCCTTTTTCTCTCTCGATCTCTCCTTCTCCTTTATATGGATCTGAAACCAGTAGAACGCTTGGTGTTGGTGGTGAAAATCGTAGCGAGTGGTGTCACCGTAAGAGTGGTGTTGGTGGTGAAGATCGTAGCGAGTGCTGGAAACTGCAACCCATTACAGCCTCCATAAACCACCGAGACCACCTATGCGAACTGCCCCTTTCCAGCCGACGTGCACCTCAGCACCATCGAGAACCAAAACCACATCTTTCATCAGACCAAGAAAGAAGAAGAAGGAGGAATGCCCACATCAATAATTTTTCGGCCAAATTCTGAACAAAATCAAGGTAAAATGGTGAGATTTTTACCTTTTATGATCAAAAACAGCTAGTTGATGCAAAATCATGGAAATCTAGGTCAGATGTGATACCTGAGGTTCATTACGTAAACCCAAATGTATGTATTATTCAATGAACCTTAAAGTGTGGAATCTGGTTTCACACTGAAAAGCATAAACAAAAATTTATAGGAAATCATAAATCGATTTACAAGTGGTGGAGAAAACATCTCTATAAAATCGAGCCATGCTTGATCACCATATTTATTCCTGCAAAATGAAAAGAAATCCAACATTATTCAAGATTCAAACCAAAATCAAGCCAGGCGACTGATGGTCGATTAACTGAGAGAGATTTGGGGAAGTGACTACCTAAATCTGTAATTTACCACACACACAGATACAATTAAGAAGATAGAGATAGGAGGAGGAAGCGATGAAGGGATGACGCAAACCGTGAATGGTTGTGCGATGGTTCGATCAGATGGGAGCATGGAACCTTATATTTGATTCATCAACTTTAACGTAGGAATTCGATACCGGAGAGTGGTGGCGGAGACAACCATGTACGATGGTGAAGGTCGTCTGATAGGGAAGAGAGAAGGAAAAGAATGGTGTTAGTGGTGGCTATGTTAGCTGATGAAGGAGATGGAAACACATTAGGTGACGTTGGTTTTTCTATACAAGGTGAAGATCTGAAGTAACAAATTCCCCGTATTTAAGGTTCTTCAAATAGAATGAGTCTTTTAACTTCCACCTATAATTTGGGGATATCGAGATATAAGGAGCTGTTTAATTTTCTTTGACTATTTCAATGGTTTACCGATCTGATCTTTCTGCATAAAGTTTTTGTAAAATCAGCAAAATATGGTAAAATGCTTTTATATATATTATAATATATATATATATATATATATATATATAATATTATATATATGAGTAAATTACATGAATGCTCCCTATGGTTTAGGGTAATTTGCACGTTTGGTCCCTAACTTATTTTTTAACTCGGAAGGTCCCTATAGTTTGTTTTTGTTGCGCGTTTGGTCCCTGTCTTACCTAAAAATATTATTTTGCCATTGATTTTTTATTTTATTTAAATAAGATGGGGTAGGTAAGATAAGGTGAGGTGGAATTGGGGTTGGGATGTGTTTATTCCATTATAACAAACACTAACTCGGAAGGTCCCTATAGTTTGTTTTTGTTGCGCGTTTGGTCCCTGTCTTGCCTAAAAATACTATTTTGCCCTTGATTTTTTATTTTATTTAAATAAGATGGGGTAGGTAAGATAGTGATGGTTACCTACACTATACGAGCCTTACTGTAATTGCATCCCAAGAATTAACACTTGTGCCTTGCAACCCTCTGACTATGCTCAAATTTTACCTTATTACCCTTTTGTGAATCTCGAACCGAATCGTTTGTGCTCGAATAATCTATAACTATTTGATGCACAATCACTTTGATCTATTGTATTTCTGGTTTGAGTTTTGATGGGAGCCGCATTGAAGGATAGAATAAAAACAAGAGGCATATGAGCATATCTTCCCTCAACATCTTAACGATTTTGGAAAAAAAATGACAGTTAAATTGATTTTCGGTTTCTAAATTTCCGAAATTTAATTCTGTTCAATCCTAAAAAAGGAAATGCAATCGTGTATAATTGCCTGATTCCTTTCAAATTTTTTAAATGTCTTTGCTTACTAAAATAATTGTTATGTAGCCAATCAAAATCCTTGCATTTCATTTAGCACATGCAATTAGAAATCTTGCTGCTGGAAGATGATTTTATTGTTCTTTTTTTCAAAACAGTAGAATGTAATTGAAGCATTAGTACTTTGTTTTAACAAAAAAATTATTTTGTTAAATTTGTGATTTGGGTACCCTTCTCTTGGCATGAATTAGTGTTTCCCTAGGTTTGTCATTTTCTTTCTAATGCCCTCTTGATTTTCTATCTGGTTGGTATTCTTAGCCTTTGTTAAGACTACGATTTTATTCTTTCGATTTCTTTACTATTATTGAACAATGATTTAATCGATATCCCTTTTTATACATTGTTATCTACACGTAATAACTTTGTTTTACTTTTATGTATGTAAAATGTAATTGATGTTATGTTAATTTTAGCCGGAGGGTAGTTTGGTCATGAGAATAACAATTTACTTTGTTAAGACATATACTACAATGGCCAATATCGGAATCAATTTGGATGTAATTAAACAATAGCTTTGAATTTTTATTATTATTATTTTTTTTTTTTGGGAAAACTACAATAATGTCCTTATATATTGGTCTAATAATCGATTTAGTCATTATATCTTTTTTTTTATTTAATTAAGTCCCAAACACCGGTAATCGTATTCAATTTAATCATTTTACCCGGTCAAAAGGTCATTCAACTTTCAAAAATTACATTTTTGGCCTAGATTTCAAAATTTATTACAAATTTGGTCCAACATTTACACTTTTGGTCCATATTTTAAATTTATATACAAATTTGGTCCAAAATTTACCTTTTTGGCCTATATTTTAGAATTTTGTTATGAATTCATCCTAACATTGGTTTTCTTACATTTTTTTTCTCAAAATTTTGTTTCGAATATGTTTTTTCTTTATAAAATCATATTTATACAAAAAAAACATATTTTACAACCTTATTTTCTATATAAAAACCTTTTTAAAAAAACATTTTTGTATACGAAATATCTATTTATAAAAATAAGTATTTATTAAGTACATAAATATATACAAACACCTATTTTATTATAAATACATTTGTATGCAAACACATATTTATAAAAAAATGTAAACAAACATTTATTTCATAGTAAACGTGTGTGTGTGTGTTGTGTTGGGGTGTGTGTGTGTGTGTGTGTTATATATAATATATATATATATATATATTATATTATATATAGATATATATGTGTGTGTGTTGTGTGTGTGTGTGTTTTACAAAAGAAATGTATACAAACACATATTTGGGTGCATATAATATGTTTTTACAAAAGAAATGTATATGGTTAATATGAAATAGGTGTTTGTATATTTTTTTTTGTAAAGTGCATGTCTGTATACATTTTTTTTATAAAAATGGATTTATATATATTTATGTACCTAATAAATACCTATTTTTTTAAATAGGTATTTCGTATACAAAAAAGTTTTTTTTAGAAAAAGTTTTTATGTAGAAAATATAAGAGATTTTTATGTGAAAATATGTTTTTTTTATAAATATGAATTTTTAAAGAAAAAACATATTTAAAATAAAATTTTGAGAAAAAAATTGTAAAAACAACTAAAGTTAGGAAGAGTTCATAACAAAATTCTAAAATTTGGGCCAAAAAGGTAAAGTTTGGACCAAATTTGTAATAAATTTTATAATATGGGCTAAAAGTGTAAATTTTGGACCAAATTTGAAATAAAATTTGAAATCTGGGCAAAAATGTAAGTTTTGAAAGTTGGATGACCTGTTGACCGGGTAAAAGGGTTAAATTGAATACGATTACCGATTTTTGGGACTTAATTGAATAAAAAAATATATAAGGACTAAATCGATTATGAGGTCAATATGTAATGACTTTTTTTTTAACTTGATTTCATTTAATTGTGTGCTAATCGATTGCTATTTATTTTATTTTATTGCTTTTAATGTTTTTTTCATTCATATGTTTTTAATCGGGTAGATTTGTTATTATACACTATTAATACGGGAACAAATTAAAGAATTATTGTATAGAAGAAAGTAAAATCAATTTTTTTTATAACATCGGTCAACCATCTACCGCACAGGTATAACACTAGTTAGAGACGGGAGATAGAGCACGAAGCCCACATCTATTGCAAAAAACCCAAAAACCAAACCCCCCATAAAATACCCAACCTATTAAAAGAGCAAACCCAATCCGATAGGAAAAAAAAGATATCAATTTTTGTATCATGATAACATGATAGCATGGAGCCTTAAAAATCTACAAAAGTCCTTCAAAATTGGGAAAATTACTTGCGATGATAATTACCTTTTTGTCTTGTTCACGTTTAGGTAACATCATTTTTTTGTACACATTTGACCATTTAACTTGTTAAAGGGTCAAACGTGTACAAAAAAAAAAAGTTTTTTAAATGTGAACAATTTTTTTTATAAGTTTCTTAAATTTTTTTATAATTTCTTACAACATTTTTATGATATTTTTTCCTACAAGTTTTTCGTTTTAGATCTTTGTTTATATATTTTTTTTAACTTTTTTTATTCTTTCATATAATTTTAATACAAGTGTTTTTAAACCAAATATTTTATAAATGTTTTAATTTTTTCTTACAAGTATTTATTTATTTATTTATTTTTTTACATTTTCATACAATTTTTTTATAACTTTCATATATTTATTTATAAACTTTCTTTTACAACATTTTTAAAGTGTTTCATAGATTTTGTGTGATAGTTTAATAATTTTTTATAACATTTTAAAATACTTTCGTTAAATACTAGTTTAAAACGTTGTATTAAAAAAATTAAAAGTTTATAAACTTCTAATTAAAAGTATTACAAAGTTGGAATAATTTTAAAACATTTGCATTATCTAGATTTTTTTGTTTTTTTATTTGCTAAGAAATATTTTCTTTTTATTTTTTTAAAAGACCCTCCATACTTACTGTTACATATTTAATTTATTTAATTTTATTATTAGATACTATTTACTTTAAATATATTGTATATGCTTAAAAACAAAAGAAAAAAAATTATAAGAGGCTATATAAAATATTTCACAAAACAAAAACATATTTATAAATTAAAAAGTAAAGTATAAAATTGATCAATAATTAATTAATATTTAGGAGATTATGGATATTTTAAAAATAACGTTTGAAAAAAAATAATACAAACAAATATGAAAAATAAAATCACTATTAAAAGTGGGGAAAATGACTAATCAAGGTAACTAACTTTTCGTTTTATTCACATTTAGACAACTTTCTTTTTTCGTACACATTTAACCATTTAACTTGTTAATTTGTTCACATATTACCATTATCACCCAGTATACTCTTTCCTAATATAACAAACATATTAAAATAGAAGGACCACCAATGAAATTTAATATATATATATATATATATATATATATATATATATATATATTATATATTCATTTAAAGATAACGGATGAATAAGGGTATAAGTGTACATTGTCCTCTCCATTAAAATAGTAAACTGAATATATTGATGAAAACTACCCGCATAATCCCTATAACATCGCATGCACCCGAATTCCACTACCCTCTGTATCGGAACACAAAATCAAACTATATCTTCTCTACTCAACCCAAAAAGCTGTAGATTCTGTTGTATATGTTATATAAAGTGATTGATTCTTGAAGATTATTCACAGAAATTGCGTTGTGATCGTTCGAAGTAAAAGAAATTGCAGTGCAATGAGGAGTACAAGGACGACTTCTTTCAAATCGAAATTTAAGAACACACAAGAAACAGTGTTGAATCTAGATGAAGACGATGATGATTTCGTCGCTCCGCCTATAGGTAATCTTTTTTTTATAAGTTTTTTTTAAGTTAATCGTTTGAATACACAGTATTCTTTTGGAATGTTCTACCAATGAAGTATTTGCATGTGGTTTTTTAGTTGGTTTAAGTAAAATAGAACGAAATAGTTTAAAAAGGGGGTATTTTCTTATTAGGGTTTTATGAAATTGGGGATTTAAAACCCGATACAATTTTTGGATTTTAACAGATATGCGAGAGATGTTTTGCAA